TTTAAATAAAAAAGGACAATTTGGGGCTTGTCAGACAAGTATCCGCTGATTGCTGCGTCCTCCCCTGCCCTTCCTGCTAGGGGCTGCAGGGGAATTACTTTTGGAGTAACTTGGCTCTGTAATAGGAGAGTGTGATAGGATCTTCTAATCCACAGACTGCATTTGTACTTGTATTAATATAGAGACACAGGAATACCACACAACATACAAACACTTCTGAAAATCATTACTGGATCAAATCTGCTCAGCGTCAACACACACAGGAGCTAAACGTTGGACCAATGACTCAAATGTCCTAAAGCACTTTGGGTGTTCTAGAAAACGAAGCAGAGGTGGTTTGCTTTCAGACTATTATTATTATACAGTATTTATAAAGCGCCAATAGTTCGCTCAGCGCTGTACATTACAAAGGGGGACAGAACATGTGACAGAACAATACCAATACAATGCAAAACATGAGGGGATCTAGGGCCCTGCTCTTTCCAGCTTACAATCTAGGAGGGAGGGGATGGTGGCACAGGAGGAGATAGCTGTGGGGGATGGAGTGGTAGGAAGAGTGGAGGAGGTCGGTCAAGTTAGCAGGGGGTGGGGTAGGCTTCCCTGAAGAGATGGGTTTTCAGGGTGTGCCTAAAGGAGAGGAGAGTAGGTGATAATCTGATGGGTTGGGGCAGGGAGTTCCAGAGGACGGGTGACACCCTGGAGAAGTCCTGGAGGCGGGCATAGGAGGAGGAGACCAGGGAACTAGAGAGAAGGAGGTCTTGTGAGGAGCGGAGTGTGCGTGCTGGGTGGTACTTGGATATTAGGTCAGTGATGTAGTTTGGGGCAGTATGGTGGACAGCTTTGTACGTCAGTGTTAGGATTTTGAATTTGATCCGTTGCGCAATCGGAAGCCAGTGGAGGGATTGGCAGAGGGGGGTGGCGGAGATGGAGCGGTTGGAAAGGTGAACGAGTCTGGCTGCCGTATTCAGGACTGACTGAAGCGGGGATAGCCAGCGGCGAGGCAGGCCAGTGAGGAGGGAGTTGCAGTAGTCCAGTCGTGATATGATGAGGGAGTGGATGAGCTGTTTAGTGGTTTCTGGAGTTAGGAACGTGCGGATTTTGGCGATGTTGCGGAGGTGGAGTCTGCACAAGCTTGTTAAAGATTGGACTTGGGGCTGGAAGGATAGGTTGGAGTCCAGAATGACACCCAGTACTCTGGCCTGCGGGGCGGGTTTGATGGTGGCATTGTTGGACATGATGGAGAAGTCAATGGGGGGTGGTGTCCGGGCTGGGGGGAAGACAAGACTATCTAACAAACCCTGCATGGTTCTGCGTCAGAGCAGTCATGGAGCGAGTCCCTGTTCTGGTTCATTCACTTGGGTGGAAATTTCAGCTTGAACTATTGAGCTCTGTGCATACCATTTTTTCCCCCCAGCATATCTGCAGCTGAGCCCAAAAGGGTCACTGGAAGCATTATTACTAAAAACGTATGCAGTGTAATTTTTAATCTTTCTCCATACTATATCACATTCCAATTCTAATCGCATTTAAATCGCAATTCACATACAAGGAATTGAATATGGTTTGTAGCTGTGAAACTTTTCCTTTTTTTTTTCCCTTCAGAGACAGTAAAAGGCCTGCAGTGGGCGAGTTTGGGAATAGCACTCCCACACCACAAACAGGGGTTCTCAGATAACCTGATTACCATCAAGAGAGCAGGGAAGGCTGGGGCACTGCAGTATTGTCTGGATGAATCTGAAGTCCAAGCAGGTACACTGTGCTCCCTGTATGCATTGAAAGGTTTGATTTTCAGTTGTGACTAAAGAATATCTTTTTAGAGGATCTAAAGCCAAAATACGTTTTTTGTTTTGGATAGGGTTGCGAACTACCCCTGTCAGCTCATTTTAGTTTCTCCTGGAGACACAACAAGAAGTGAACAGGAGACTCTATAGTCACCAAACAAGTGTTCCCATTGGAATATTTTCCCTCATCTCTTGTTTTGGTGACAACTGTAAAACGTTAATTTATGAACCTTAAGTACTAATCCTAAAACAAAAAATAAATTGGCTTAGATCTACTTAATCTGTAAACCCTGAAAACCAATTTTGTACACAATCTGGCCTTGTTCACCTTCTATTAAGGTTCTGCACCATTACCCTACATGGCTGTCCAAGGAGTATTACATAAGCAAGAAAAACACATAGTAGTTAACCAGTCCAGGGAGTGCTAAGAGGCTAAAGAATTTCAAAACACAACTTAACGTCTCCCATCCCCCTCTTAAATACATATTGAGGGGAAAAAAAAGGATAATCAGTAAACTTCAGAAATTCCTGAAACGCTTCACCCTACAGGCCGGCTGCCCCCTATATGAAGCGCACACACCCTCGTCTCCTATACTGCTCATAAGTGACACCACTCCCGGCTGTTCTATGGAATTTTAATTTCTAATCCATTAACTGCAAGCTTCTGTTAATAAGGTCGTTATAGACGCTCGGGGTAGCTGGAAGGAGGAAGGTTTGCTTCCAGCTATATGCACAGGTTCATTAGTTCAGGCCATTTATTAACGCATTAAACACACAAATTTATTCTTGGTTTGAGCAATACCAAGTTTATGAGAACAAGAGTTACTTTATGTTCTCTAGTGCAGTGTCCTAATGACCATCCATAAGCAAACAGAGCTGTCATTAAAGAGAACCTGTACTTTACAATGATTCGAAGAAGCGGCAATCTGGCTTGACAGGAGATTCGCTAGGTCAGTTTTGCCCATGGGTGCCGCAATCACAGGACTAAGTCTGACCAGGATTGAGAGAGGGGGCTCTCATGTATAGGGGGGCCTCTGATGTGATGGAGGTGATTTTGACGTGATGCTAAATTTCATCAAGGCAGTTGTGTGCATCGTCCCAGCTCAAGTCTCCCATTGATAATTAACATTTTTTTACATTTTAGATCTGGGGTGCCTCAAGATTTTGCATGTTAAAGGGTTGCACAATTAAAAAAAGGGGTTCCTCCAGAGGTTGCAGAGGTTGATGCAAAACATGAGGGGATCAAGGGCCCTGCTCTTTCGAGCTTACAATCTAGGAGGGAGGGGGTGGTGGCACAGGAGGAGATAGCTGTGGGGGATGGAGTGGTAGGAAGAGTGGAGGAGGTCGGCAAGTTAGCAGGGGGTGGGGTAGGCTTCCCTGAAGAGATGGGTTTTCAGGGTGCGCCTAAAGGAGAGGAGAGTAGGTGATAATCTGATGGGTTGGGGCAGGGAGTTCCAGAGGATGGGTGACACCCTGGAGAAGTCCTGGAGGCGGGCATGGGAGGAGGAGACCAGGGAACTAGAGAGAAGGAGGTCTTGTGAGGAGCGGAGTGTGCGTGTTGGGTGGTACTTGGATATTAGGTCAGAGATGTAGTACGGGGCAGTATGGTGGACAGCTTTGTACGTCAGCGTTAGGATTTTGAATTTGATCCGTTGCGCAATCGGAAGCCAGTGGAGGGATTGGCAGAGGGGGGTGGCGGAGAGAGCGGTTGGAAAGGTGAATGAGTCTGGCAGCCGTGTTCAGGATGGACTGAAGAGGGGATAGCCAGCGGCGAGGCAGGCCAGTGAGGAGGGAGTTGCAGTAGTCGAGTCATGATATGATGAGGGAGTGGATGAGCTGTTTAGTGGTTTCTGGGGTTAGGAACGTGCGGATTTTGGCGATGTTGCGGAGGTGGAGTCTGCACGAGTTTGTTAAAGATTGGACTTGGGGCTGGAAGGATAGGTTGGAGTCCAGAATGACACCCAGTACTCTGGCCTGCAGGGCGGGTTTGATGGTAGCGTTGTTGGATGTGACGGAGAAATCAATGGGGGGTGGTGTCCGGGCTGGGGGGAAGACAAGAAACTCGTTTTGGAGAGGTTCAATTTAAGGAAGTGGAGCGACATCCAGTCTGATATGTCGCTCAGTAGGTGTGTGATTCGGGCTGAGACCAAGGGGGTGAGGTGTGTGGGTTGAGAGATAGATTTGTGTGTCGTCGGCATAGAGGTGGTAGTTGAAGCCGTGAGAGTGTATGAGTTGGCCAAGGGAGGAGGTATAGATGGAGAAGAGAAGGGGCCCGAGGACAGAGCCTTGAGGGACCCCAACAGAGAGGGGGAGTGAGGGGGGAGGTGGTAGCATTATAGGTAACGCTGAAGGAGCGTTGTGACAGGTAGGATGAGAGCCAGGAGAGAGCAGAATCTCTGAGGGCCGAGGGAGTGTAGTTTTTTGAGGAGGAGGGGGTGGTCGACTGTGTCGAAGGCCGCAGAGAGGTCAAGGAGTAGGAGCACTGAATAGTGGCCATTAGCTTTGGCGGTTAGCAGGTCGTTGGAGAGTTTGAGTAAGGCAGTTTCGGTGGAGTGTAGGGGACGGAATCCGGACTGTAGGGGATCGAGGAGGTTGTTGTCGTTGAGGTGAGAGCATAGGCGGGTGTAGACGAGGCGCTCAAGGAGTTTAGATGTAAATGGGAGCAGGGAGATGGGTCTGAGGTTGTTCGGGTCATTGGGGTCCAGGGAGGGCTTTTTAAGTATGGGGGTGATGTGTGCATGTTTCAGAGGGGAGGGGAAAGTGCCTGAGGAGAGGGAGAGATTGAAGATGTGGGTGAGGGAGCGTAGGATGGAGGAGGAGGAAGGTCGTAGGAGTTGTGAGGGGATAGGGTCGAGGGGGCAGGTGGTGAGGCGGGCATCAGAGAGGATCTTGGAGACTTCCTCGATGGTAGTGTTGGGGGGGAGCTTCAGTATGAGGAATGTAGGGTGGGTGGAAGAGGAGGTCAGAGCAGTGGTGGGGCTGTGGAGAGAGGGGTGATGAGGGGTAGCTGAGTGAGAAATGAGTAATTTCACTGAAAATTCTTATTGACCACAAATGTAAGAAGCATCCTTCCAAGTGACCATACTACTAATATACCACAAGCTGTCAATCATAATTATTCGGGATAATCCAATCCCTAGCCAAATCTTGTAGACTTCACCTCCGCAACATCTCCAAGATACGCCGGTTCTTAACCTCTGAAATTACTAAGCAACTTATTCACCCCCTGGTTATCTCGCCTTGACTATTGTAACTCCCTCCTCAGTGGCCTACCTCATCGCAGGCTATCCCCTCTTCAGTCTATCATGAATGCTGCTGCCAGACTCATCCACCTTATTAACCGTTCCATATCTGCCACCCCTCTCTGCCAATCCCTCCACTGGCCTCCACTCAATGACCTCCATCCCTCTCTGCCAATCCCTCCACTCAGTGTCCTCCATCCCTCTCTGCCAATCCCTCCACTGGCCTCCACTCAGTGTCCTCCATCCCTCTCTGCCAATCCCTCCACTGGCCTCCACTCAGTGTCCTCCATCCCTCTCTGCCAATCCCTCCACTGGCCTCAACTCAGTGTCCTCCATCCCTCTCTGCCAATCCCTCCACTGGCTTCCCATTGCCCAACGGATAAAAATCTAAACATTAACAACAACATATGAAGCCATTTTATAACTCTGATCCAAATTACATCTCCAATCTTGTCTCCAAATATCACCCAAACTGTACTCTCAGCTCCTCGTATGACCTCCTGCTCTCTAGCTCCCTTGTCTCCTCCCATGCTCATCTCCAGGACTTCTCCAGAGCCTCCCCCATCCTCTGGAACTCTCTACCACAATTTATCTATCGCCTACTCTGCTCACTTTTCCAGCTAATACTGGAATCTTCTATTCCTCCTAACAGTCCATCCCCCACAGTTATTACCTTTTGTACCAATAGCCCCTCCTTCTTAGATTGTAAGCTGCAAGGAGCAGGGCCCTCCTAACCCTCTTGTATTGAACTGTATTGTTGCTGTATTGTCTCCTGCTATATTGTAAAGCGCTGAGCAAACTGTTGGTGCTATAAATCCTGTATAATAATAATTCGCAAGGGTTAGATCAAAAAGTTATTTTATGGGTTACTCCATGTTAAAAAAGACTGAGAATACTGATGTAATGGATGGGGCAGAAGTACTTGGGTGAGGCATAGCAAGGCATTACCACTGGTGATTTCACTACTATTCCAAAAAGAGTAGGCAGAAGGTGGGATGGAGTCTTTATAGAACGGTATACAAAGCCTCCTATGCACTTTTATTTGCAGGGTAGGGTTGACCACAAAAGTACATTACAAATTCTTTGTTAAGTAAAAAATGGTGCCTGTATAGATTCTAACTCCTATAGCTTTGCCTGGAATGTATTTAGCACTTGGCCTTTTTACTACCATGGTCAGGCATGTGCACTCCACCCCAGGGGGCCAAACAAGCCAGTTTTCACAGGTACCAATAAAACTACAAAGTTCATTAAAAGTCCCCCAAACCACATATCTTCTGACAACAGTTGCCATATCACTTTCTCATTAGCCACAGGGTTCCCATGGGCTAAATCAGTTACCAGCAATTTGGCCGTGTTATGCTGCCGATGGTGTGTTTTGGCATTACAGTGATGATTTACTCAGAGAAAGGGCCATAGTAAACTGGA